AACAAAAAAAAAGTGTTATTCTTGTAAAGTATACTCAAAAATTATAAAATATGAATGATGTGAGAAGGCATACTCCTTCAATAATCCCCAAACTTCATCAGATTTCTAGTCTAGTTAAAAAGGAGGCAATCAAAGACTTAACAGCATATTTTATGGTCCCCTTTAAATACAGTAGAAAGTCTTGGGTTGGGATTAAGGGGAATTTTCCTTGGTAGGGATTTAGTTCCTTTATGTAATGCTAACTACTCATCCTGAGTCGAGGCTTTCACAATTCCCCATTAAACTTCTTTCCAAATTGGTTGATTTCTCTGCAAACATTTCTTGCCCTTTGTTACCTCCATGTTTTCTTTCCCCATGCCATTAAGTTAGTCTGAAATACCTTATCTTCCTATCATGGCTAATCAAATCTGAGACTGTCTTCTAAATCCAGCTCACATCCAGTCTCCATAGAGCTCTCCCAGAGCACTGTCTCCCATTCTCTTCTGACCTCACTGCCTTGCCAAAATCACATTCACTGGTGTACTGCTACTTCCGCTGTTATTTGTTTACTTTGTGTTACTTATTTCATAACTTCATTTTTCATGAAAATGAAAAATGTCTCCACAACTGAATTATAAACTCTTTGAGACCAGGAGCCACATTATGTTAGAATTGAGCATACTCTTTTGTACATAAATGAAACCTAAATATATGTTGTTTGTTTAGAATACATGAGATACAACAACTGAGAGTTTTAAGTCCTACTTCAGCATGAATAGCAATTAGCACGATCAGAGTACTTTCAATATTAAAACAGAAGATATTACTGAAAACTCAAGATAAATTAAACTACTTGCAGATCTTCTTTCCCTACAGAATTGTATAAACATTTTGAGTAGTACTAGAATTATACAAATAAACTTATTTTGAATAGTAATAGAATTGTACAAATAAGCTATCATAGAATTTAAGCAAGTGCTTATTACAACCAGCTTTAAATAATAACAGTGTTTATACTTTAGTCAATAAACTTATTTAACAAATTATTCATTGAGTTCCTAACTTGTACAAGGAATCACACTGAGATCTGCTAGGAGAAGAAATGAATAAAAGACTGGCCAAGGCCTCAACACCTAATACTTTAATGGAAGAGAAAGGCTTAACAAAATTTTACAAAACAAAAGTTAAATAAGCAATATGATACAGCTAACCCTACTGAGTATTGCGTGTGATTGATTTCAGCTAGTAGGGTTCAGTAACCAACTGCCAAAAATAAAATAAAATGATAACATTTGAACTAGGCCTGGAAAGATAATTAGGACTATGTAGACCAAGATGGCAGAAGATGATTCTAGGCTATACACTCATAAAGGGCAAAAGGTAGAGGTATGAAAATATATTCTCACCCCATCTTCAGTCTCTCTCAGTAGGGAATCTCACCTGCTACTTCATGGGGAAAAAACAAAAAGCATTCCTCTCCTACATCTCAAAACATATTGACATTTCTGTTTCTCTTTCCCTTCTAACTCAAGGGTCCTCATCCTTTCCCACAGCTAAATTTTCCAAATTGTTCTGACCCTCTCACTGTTTGTCTCCTGTCGGATCTTGTTCCAGTGCTCAACCTCTCTCTCATTCTCTTTACGATCAAATTTTTGAAAGAATGGTGTGTATTTGCTATCTCTACTTCATCTCAAATTTACTACTCAGTTACATAAGTATACCTGTCTCTTAAATCTTATACAATGTGTTCTTTTTATTCAGTAAAATAAAGTGAAATAAGGATTTACTTTCCAATTTCATCCTTTCTTAGTTAACCAGTGTTTGTTCTCAAAATTTATTTGCTATATTCAAGAACCAGAGAATATATAGTCTCTGACTACAATTTCTCATGTCTAGAAAGTAAATTATGAAACAGCAGAGACTAAGTATTTTCAGTAAAGAACCTGTTATTGTCGTGATCAATGAGAATCCTGAACCTTAAACATGCTGTCCTCTCTGTGTTATCTTCCTCTAACTTAGCACTCTTTATAATTCTTCAGACAAGAATAGTAGAATGTGCAATTGATCTTCCTCAGCAACATAAAGGAGGAACTTTCAAGGAAATTATTTCACACAAGTCAGGGTCCTCAATCTTTCTCAGAAGATCAGAGTAAGATAAGGTTTGATATCTTGACACCGTACTGACATACCTAGAGAAGAGACAGTTCCAGTGCCTGATTGATGTGCTGGTTCTTTGGCAGTTTCATTTACTAAAGGAATAATGCCTAAGATGGTTTCTCCTCTTATATACAATAAATAGCTAGAATTCTCCATAACTTACTTTGCTCACCTTTCTTACCTTCAAAGCCAAATGTATCAGCACCCATTAATCACCCACATTAATATCTAAAGTGCAAAGAACCACCCATATGTTATATAAACCTAAGTCTTTTCATAGACAGTGAGTGTTACATACACTGGTCTGTGAACTACTGGACAATAGATAGATCTCAGCTCATCTTTTCAGACTTCCTTTGTAAGGGACACTTCAGAAGTTCATTGAATGATCTCCCTTTGTCTTTTAAAAATAAATTTACTCCCTCTCTGGGAGGCCGAGGCGGGAGGATCGTTTGAGCTTAGGAGTTCGAAACCAACCTGAGCAAGAGCGAGACCCGTCTCTACTATAAATAGAAAGAAATTAATTGCCCAACTAATATATATAGAAAAAATTAGCCAGGCATGGTGGTGCATGCCTGAGGCAGGCTCCCAAGTAGCTGGGACTACAGGCAGAAAGATTGCTTGAGCCCAGGAGTTTGAGTTGCTGTGAGCCAGGCTGATGCCACGGCACTCACTCTAGCCTGGGTAACAAAGTGAGACTCTGTCTCAAAAAAAAAAAAAAAAAAAGAAAAAAGAAAAAGCTATGGTGGCCGAGTGGTGGCTCACGCCTATAATCCTAGCACTCTGGGAGGCCGAGGCAGGCGGATTGCTCCAGGTCAGGAGTTCGAAACCACCCTGAGCAAGAGCAAGACCCCAGCTCTACTATAAACAGAATGAAATTAATTGGCCAACTAATATATATAGAAAAAATTAGCCAGGCATGGTGGCGCATGCCTGTAGTCCCAGCTACTCGGGAGGCTGAGGCAGGAGGATTGCTTGAGCCCAGGAGTTTGAGGTTGCTGTGAGCTAGGCTGATGCCACAGCACTCTGTCTAGCCTGAGCAACAAAGTGAGACTCTGTCTCAAAAAAAAAAAAGTTACAAGTCAAGTTAAACTATTAAACAACATAGGGTCTTATCCTCCAATCTTGACAAATACACTTCCAACTACCTGAAGGTACAGGTTCAAATTTAGAATTCTTAAACTCTTTGAAGTTCCATACCATAATGTGCTCACATGGGAGTAAGAGAGGAAACTAGCAGGCCCAACTCAATAAAAAGTCGTAAGACCTGAACCAAGGTCTCTGACAAAACTCGGAAAACAGATGCAGTGAAGAAACTGGTTAAGATCAAGAGGAGCCAAGACAGTAACAAGAACAACATCTGCTTGCCCTGGTAGCTCATTATACCCTACTTATAATGTATTAGGATACTAAAAGAAATTCCCACCAGAGCCATGACAGTTTACAATTACCATGACAACCCCTACAAGTTACCTTATATGGTAAAAAAGAGGAGGAATTGCCAATTCCTGAAAATCTCCACCCTTTTCCCAGAAAACCTATGAGTAATCCACCCCTTATTTAGCATATAATCAAGAGATAGCCAAAATAGAGCTCACCAACAATGTACTCTGTTTCTGGGGTAGCCTGCTTGCTGTTTGTTTCTTTAACAAATGCTGCTTTCATTTCCAACTTAAGTCTTGCACTTAAATTCTTTCCTGCATGAAGCCAAGAACCTTCTTGGCCTTCTAGCCTGGACCCCAGTTTGGGGGTCCACTTTTTGGCGTTAGAAGGACTAGCCCATTCCCTTCTCTTCCCATTCTCCAGCTCTGTGGACACCTTGAGAGGTCTTGCACACCTCAAACTGCTACCCCTTTGCCATCCCTCAGGCCTAAGCAAATATTCACTGGCTTTATCCTACTAAGGACAGATCCAGAAAAAAGGCCCATACAGACTCTGGAAGAAGGCTCTGTGCTGTTTGGGGCAGGAAATTCCAGAGTCCTGGTAAGCATAGGATGGGGTGAGAGAGAGAGTGAAGGTGTGGGCTAGTCACATCCCCTTGGCCCCTCAGATTCTTCACCCTATGGGGAAGTGTGATCAGAGTAGAGCCTTCCAATTTACCAGTCCCAAAGCAGGGTCCTGCTTGTCTAGAATTAAAAGCAACACTGGATAATACCAAATGGAGAATTACCGGATCAGTCTTGTTACTAGTTAATACATTAGTAGAAACTAAATACATAAAAAAAAATTAAGTAGATAGATAAAACTCAAAATTCCAATTTCTAATAAGTTCAGTTCCCTCAAGATCTATAATCAAAGGATCTAAATTCATTTGGATCTACCCTACAGACTAAAGGTAGATTCTGTACTTTCTTTACAAATTCATACAAATTTATAAAATTCTATTCAGATGCTAGAGGGAGCTGAGAAGACAAGAAGCAGAAGGAAGAAGGGAAGGAAGAGAACACGAAGTATCAAAGACAAGATCACACATACAAATATAAGAGAAAGTGTTTTCTTCCTGTTCTGTTGCTGGTGTCTACAACATAATTAACCATCTGATTAAAGCCACTAGTATCGCAGCTTGCTCTCACAAAGCCAGATTCATGCAGTTCACTCGTTAGCTTCCCAATTCCCCTAAACTAGCCATTGTGTGCATGGCAGGTCAAGCTGAATCTCGTCAGCATTTATGTGGACACTGATGACAGCTCTCCTTACACAGAATCTCTTACCGTAATATGCTGCACTACAACTTCCACTTTACTTAACAAGAAAATGATTCTGTTAATTTGAAAAAACTAATAAATAATTCTCATCACAATAAATATACATACTTCACAGGAAGGGAAGTATTTCAACTGGAAATCTTATTTATGTGTACTTACTGAGATTGTACCATTGTCTAGACCTATGGACAGTCTTCTTGTTTCCGGGTTAAAAGACATGCATGAACATGGAGCTGAAAGAAATGAACATGTTGATGAAATTAACAAAACGATGATTCTCATCGATTTAGGAGTGCCTAACTAGCTAAAAGTGTGGGGCTATTTTCCCCCACTATTTCTTGAAAAACAGTTCATTTAACTCCCACTCACCAAAAAATAAAAACAGTTATTTTACAACCAACCCTTAGTTTTTCAGTTGTCTATTCAATGAATATAACAAATAAGATAGTTGATCTCAAACTGGGCACGTTCCAAAGAGCTTGGTCTCAGCTTGTTGTCAGTATTGGGTCTAACTTTACTGAACTAGATTAACGATATTTTGCACTGTATAATCTTTCTGTTACCACTCTTTCTGTTCCACCCTGATTCTACCTTAAATAGAAACAATCTATCTTTTCTGAACTAGGAAAACAAAAGAAAGATCTTGTTATCTCCCCAGCCTCTTCAGCCACATACATACACATATACACACTAGTATAGAAATCTACTTTTTGATTCAGAATTAATTTGGGGCATATGAACTACAGGGAGTTTTTTGCTTTTGACATTCAGGAGGTATGCTGAAGGCTGCTGATTGAAAACGACTGAAGATGTGTCTCAATCTACAAGAGAAACAACTCATCATTAGGGCTTGACATTGTAGGAAAGAGACCAGGTGAGTCAGCACACCCAGTTCTGGACTGGGACTCCCTGTTCTGCAAGACTGACTGGTTGAGTACACCTGAGCTTAAGTAAATGAAGCTTGCCCAGAAGCCACGTGTGGCCACCAAGTGCTTACAAAACAGTTGCTTCTAGGCCCCTGAGTTCTCCTCTAACCTATGCTTGCTCCTAAGAATGGAGGCCTTTTGACAATGTACCCCATGCTAAAAGTTGTTCTAAAAAGTCCAGCACAATTTTTAAATGTCTTCCCCCAACCCCCGCATATTCACAGTAGCCCTGTAGATCATGAACTACTAGTCTTCATCATAATCACAATCAGCATCAAATATTTTTATTTCTATTTTTCGCAGTTGTTATTACATGTCTTACCCAAGGTCACATACAAAAAAGTTGGAAAAGGTTCAAAGACCAAACACATAGTCTCATTTTCAAACACCCAATTTATATTATCTTTAAACTATAAAAGAACTTCAAGTTCTATTGACAGAGCCACTTCAAAAACACATCACTTAGTACCATTTTTTCATTCTCTATCAAAGGGCCCTGAACAAAAACAACAAAAAATCTTCTAAACTGTATAAAGTATTTAACTTTTTTCTAATTTTCCATCATGATAGAATCAGAAAATAAAAGCATACAAAAAAAAGAATTTGTCCCCCAAACTTACAACAGTACAACACACTATCTTCTTTCTGGTTATCCACAAAATAAAACTGGAGTCCCAAAGATGCACTGCTGAACAAAGTAATCACATTATATTTAATGCACTGCCCTAAGGAAGTCAAGTGTTACTTGCCCTTGGCCTATACACTATGTCAACACAGTTTCTATACGCATGCCAAAATGCCAGGTCTCATAATCCCATAACATTAAAATCTAATGATTTCATGAAAAATTATGTTAGCTGAAACAAATCAAAAGAAAAAAATACATCGATTACAGCTATGTAAGGTACATACACACATAAAAGAAAATTATAAATGGGGACACTAAGCATAGTTCTTCTGTTCGAGTGACAAGATTATTTCTATAACATTGTTTTTAATGTTATTGTTTTGCTGTTCCTATTAAAATTAATTTTAAATATCTAACAATATTTAAACATGAGCATATGAAGCCAAACTCAATTGCAGTCCCAAGGGGCTACGCCAGAAACAACCTTATCATTTAGCTGCCTGCCTGACCATCTAAAAGTATTTTCTATGTGATTTCCTTTGAAGTTCTTATCTGGTTTTGCTACAGTTAGAAAACTCGCTGATCTTTAAATGTGATTTAAAAGACTTTTTCACAACATTGCATAGGCTACCCTTAAATCTATGTTGCTATTTCTTTATTCCTTGTCCCCTCCATTTGCTATATTTCTTGTTATTCTTTCACGAAAATTTAGAATGCTTATTACGTTCCAGGCATGTGCTACAATGATATATAAGGCATTACTGCCGCCATCAAGGAATTTACAGATTGTGAAACCAACTGTACATAGGAACTGTAAGACTTGATTTCACCTCCTTGATTCAAATCACTTTTATATATAGGAAGAAACATCACCAGAATTCAAAAGCAAAAGACTTTTCATACAAAGTAGCATAAACAAAAGAAATTTTAACAGAAATTCTGCTGTTCTAGAACTCATCTGCCTGAACCAAAGATGTTCTAGACAGGGGAATGCCAGAGTTAGATAGCATGAGCTCCCAGGTGCCCCAAAGGCACTATTACCTCTTCGAAGAGACATGATGGAAAAACACCAGGCAAATGTGTGTGTGTGTGTGTGTGTGTGTGTGTGTGTAGAGAGAAAGGCTTTTGGTAGGTTAGTCTTAACGATGTTCTCAAACCGTTTCCCAACTGTGACATGCCCATAGAACAGGACTTGGGTTGGTTACCCATAGCCTCTGGCTGGGCCAAAGAGCCAGAAAGTGAATCCAAAAGCATACCGATTTCCAGATTTCTTGTTACAGTAAATAACTTTCCTTGTGAAGGTCAAAGGAAAAACAGATTAACACAAAGATCCTTCTAACCTCAATTTAGCAGAAATTAACAAAAAGCAACTCTATAGCCCACACAAAACAGTTTTCTAGCCATGCAAGACAAATATTAAACGGGCAAAACTGTCTGGGGAAGGATAATGAGATACAGTAAAGTAAAGGTAATTATGACTAAATGGTAAAGGGAATCCTTTCACAGGAAGAATGGGGGAGACAAACAAAATATGATTTAAGCACAACATTTGTAGCTAGGTGGCGAAAAATGGCTACAAATATTTGTTATGCTTCACAAACAAGAACTCTGCTTTAAATGCTGTAAAACTAATAATTTATAAGGCAATAAATAAATAATTGGTCTCTCTGATGTCTAAACATGCAAGTTAGAAATGAACTGGTTAGGAGACTGTTCTTTTCTCCCACCTTGAAATTGCTCTCTCCAAAGAGTGAGTGAAGTGTCTGACCAGAACTATAAAATTATAATACAACTGCTGACTTCCTCTACCAAAACTGTATCCTTGAACTCCAGATGAAATAAATACAGCATGATACAAAATGTGAAGATTTATAAGCCTCACCTTTAACTGTTTTTCCCCATGAGAAATAATAACCACACAGAGTAAGATTTGCAGGGTGACCTGCATTTGCCAAGACCTCTTATATATGTCATGCTATATGCAGCTGTCCTGAGACTGCTCCTATACTCACCCAATAACTGAAACTCAAGGCCTTGACACTGGTCTTATTGATGTTATAGTTTAGTTTCCTATATTTTTCCCTATGTTTTTATTAAAATGTAGGAAAAAATGATTCCAGTTTCTTGATAAAATAGTATAGGAATCATTTCCATGCTACCTGAATAAGATTTCCCATCTACCTTTTTTGTCTCAAACTAATGACAGTCAAAAGAATGTACTGGAAAAATTCTAGAAAGCAATGAAAAGCACAAATAAACTAGAAAAGAAATTTGTACAGTCTATGAGTAATGGGACCTCTTATTCTCTTTTATTAGTATCAGGACTTTGGACCTTGATGGTCTGTCAAAGTCTCACCTTTAAAATTAAACACTTTCATAACATTGAGTGTTCGGTAAAATGAAAGCTTTGTCATTTAAGGCAGTTATTCAGCTTAAAGTTCAGGGAAAACTAAAATAAAGAGAAACTCCAGTATGGGTGATTATATTAATGATCATATAATTTGAAGGGGGAAAGCTCAAGAGATATGAACTGTAGACAAAGGGGACTCAAGAGACCGATATCAACCTTAACAGAGTCAATAACTAAATGGATTAGAGAGAAAGTGATTATTTTTATTTCTGATATTTTTATCCAACAATTGGTATTTTTAAAAAAATTGCCCTTGCTTATTTAAAAAAATGTAGTTGAGAAGAGACAGTCTCAAAACACTTCCATTTGGGGGAAAGTTTCCTAATTTCTATTATACCAGTAATTTATTCGTTTTATGACTAATTTATTTTTGTCCTTTGCTGACCAATTGAACTTTGCTCAAATAAACACAAGTTTCACTGAAGGTTAAGCTTGGATTTCAATCACAGTGCTTTACAATGCTAAAGGCATTATTTGGCAGGAGGCACTAATCTTCATGAGAGGTTCTGGTTGGAACTTTAAAACTAAATAAACAATGATACTTCTGCAAATATAACTTCAGGTGTTATAGGCATCCCCGTGAAGTTATATGTCAGAATTCCACAATAAGAAGGTCTTTAATAGAGCTTCCAATGAGCAATACATCCCTATAAAGCAAAGATTTAATTCATGGATACTATTTCACTCAGCCCTGTTTGTCATAGAATATTATATATCATAATAGATTTATAATATTCAACCTCCCATGCCTTATTTCATTAGCATTTCTATATTTAGGACTTCGATTGTTTAACACTAAAAAGCACTTTTCATTTAAATCAAACATTTATGTACTCCACTAAAATTAATCATTTTGTTTTCTTTTAATCTAGTCTGAGTAACATCAGCAAAGTTACAGTGAATTAGAAGTGGTCACTTTTTCTCCCAGACAAGTTTTAAATTATAGTAAAGTGATTTAACTACAGTAAATTTTAAAATGCCCCGTCAGATGAAAATCAAATAAGAGTATGCTAAATAAATGCTGTACTTAGATTAATTAACATCTGGTATAGTCAATTTGGATAACATATGTTTTCCTTCTTTCCATTAAAAATCAAAAGTTCCTTGGATACCTTTTCTTCTTAGTAAATACAGAATTAAAATATCATATTATATTATGGTTTTTAAAATGTAAATAGTAAAAATAATAAGTTGTTTTTATTTATTTTTATTTTAAGAAAAAAAAACATTTTACACATGGTTTTATAATGTAACCTATACCAAAAAGAA